GTTTATCAACATTAAACAAGCTCAAAATCTTGACAAGCAGTATTTAAGTAACAATCAAGTTTAAAATTAACTTGCTCTCTGGAGTAAATATCTGCCAATTTAAACAGGGAATTAAGAAGGATCCTCAAAGGCCATGTAGGACCATGAGATTGGGGCCACAGGTCTATTTTTGCACCTGGGCTGCCACAGGACAAAAAGGGCATGGCACTCACAGGCAGGACTTCTAACCAGCAATCCTCCTTCCCTCCAGGAAAAACACACTGTGTTTACGTGTTCTATTTAGGTTTTCCCATATCACCTTATAAACAAAATGCATCACTGGCACAAAGGACACTGGCTTGGAAAGGTTAAAGAACACTGCCCAAGACTATATAGGGAATGTGGCCTATGGCAAAGTCTGGCCACTCTTCCAACCACACAAGCCAAGGGTTCACAGCAAGTCCCAAATCATCCATCTTCAAGCCTGCTTATCCAGATTTGGGACACACACACACACACACACATGACATGACACCCTATACACACACAAATCTCATGTATTTCCTAGTATCTTGTTTTTTTGAGGGTCTCTCTGTGTAAACCCTGGCTGGCCTTGAAATCACGGCAATCCTCCTGCCTTAGCATCCTGAGTGCTGGGATTACAGGCATGTGCCACCATGCCACCAGGATCCTAATGTCTTTAAACAAAATTCTCCTCTTACCCCAACCCCAAGTTATACAAAAAGGAGGGTGTGGGAGTAAAGACACCCTAAATCTACAAACATAGCAGTATAGCGGTAAAGAGGATAAATTTTTTGAGCCAGATAAATCTAGATAATCTATTCTACTACTTACTAATCTGCACCATCTTAACCAATGAGCCTTCATCAATAAAATGGTAATAATCCAGGGTATGGATTAAATGAGACTCCCCTTACCATGGTACAAAAGTATACATAAAAGAATAGTTCTAATGGTATCACCCTCAGGTCCCAGCAAATCCCAGTTGTTTTAACACAAGATTCCTGCTAGTTCCTCTAGACACACAGGTTGCGTTCTCCCCTACTTGTAGTCTTCTATACTTGTAGTCATCTGGGGACAATAATCGTTACCATTTCCAGAGGTTTCTCAGTCTTCACTGTGCTATATTCCCTTTTCAGAACTCTGTGTTAACCCCTGTAGTAAATTCTGAATACACCTGTATCAGATATTTTGCGAAACTATGTAAAAGCCTAAAGGAACAAGAGAGGGCCTTTGCTGAAGTAACAGCCAAAAGACAGTCATGGAAATAAACAAGCCCCATTCAAGGAAGACTGCAAATAGGAAAAACCACAGGAAAAACTGTAGAAAAGCTGACTCAGAAGTGGCATTTCATCAACCTTCCAGGATGAAGAGGTAGGGTAGGAGGGCTTGTAAGGACAGCATGAAGTTATTCAAAAAATTAAACAGTATGGCTAGGATACTGGACCCCAGGTCAAGAAAGGGCCTTGCAGTGCCCTGCTGAGTCTGCACTTGCTCCAGTAGATACAGAGGACTCATGCAAAGACAGACTGGTGACCAAGTCAGCTCAGAAATAAGAACCAAAAGCACAAACTATCCCAAGCCCAAGCTCAGTTCCTACCAAGGGCCATTCCTCAGCCCATGCTAACCTGCACTGTGAGATGCTTCTTTCTATCCCCCAAATGTCTTACACATGTCATCTTCAAGACAATAGAATAAGTCAACCTACTATATGTTTGCCTCAACAGAAAAAAAATAAAGCACTCTTTATTGGCTTATCTATTTCTTGAGACTGCACAGACTGCTGAATGGCTATAAAAGATGCCATGTATTTGCTGTTTTGGGAGCAGAAGGTCAAGTCTGGTTTGAACCATATTCTGAAACAAGTATGTACGGGACACTTATGTTTGATACCCTGGAGAGAAGGTCTAAAAGAGAAGTAGCCATCTAGAATTAAGAGATGACCCTGCAGGGCCTACTGAAAGCAGCAGGTAGGGCTAGATAGCTGGGACATCTAACTCAGATCAGTGAAAGAACCTAAGGGAAGATTAGAGCCAAAGTAGCAGAATAGAAAAGGCTCTGGAAGAGAAAGGACTACTAAAAGAGTCAATGGAAAGGTAGGCAGAGAACTATAATGTAGTCCAGGTGATTTAGTCCACCTAAAATACTGTTTACACAAAAAACAAGTTGCTAATTTGGCTCTCAGTAGATTTTCAGCATTAAGACAAGGAAATGACTAAAATCAATTCATGTGTGTGGGAGTCTAACATCCAATGGCTAGCTCCCATAGTACAAGAAAAACAAACAATAAATTATAGACAAGGGTCAAAATAAAGCACTGGATTAGTCTTAAGCCTGGCTATTAAAGGACCTTTGACTGAAACTTTCGGATAACCATTAGTTGATGTACTTTTCATTGAAGCTGTTTATCTAAATCTCTCCTGCTAAAGTGGGCTCAAGGTTAGTGAGGCTTATCCAACACTGAATCTTACTCATCTGTCACACCCTCTACCTGAAATGCTCTGCAAATGTCCCAAGTCTGCCATTTTCCCTCAAATTGGTACATTTTAGGTATCCATGGGTGTATCTGGTGGAGGTACTGGAGGGGTGGGTGTCTAGGAAGTGATTAGAAAAAAACTAATATAGGGGAAAAGTGTCCTATTTATAAAGACAGGACATGAGAACATGATGTTTGCTTAAATTATAAACTCAAGTTTGCCTCAACAAACTCTTTTTCCCATGTCTCTTGCTCTACAAAAATTTCACAAATTTAAACTCACTCTCCAAAGCAAAACTACAAAAACTTCTATTTGACCTCACTTCTTTTTTTGGGTGGGGGGCGGAATATCAGGAATCGAACTCCGGCCCTCGCACTTGCGAGGCTGGGGGAAGAACCACTGAGCTAAATCCCCCACCCCTTGACTTCACTTCTAACTACAGATTTGACTTAAAAAAAAATTATATGCAAAACTGAAATCTTGCTTAGTATTTACCCTAAGATGTTTCCAAGTACATTTTAAAAGATCACCTTGACAGTTTTTACTTGAATTTACATAAGGTAGTTAATCTACAATACTAGTTAATAATGCTCTTACTACAATTCAAATTTTTTTACAGATTCACATGAGACTTGTATTCTCAATACACTTATGTTCCTGAAAACCACTAGAGCATAAAGCTCAGTGCAATTTGTTTCAATAGACTCTTTCAAGGGGCCCTATTATTCATGCAACACTGACTTAACATAAATTATAGGTATGATTCCAAAGAGTAAAGTGTACTTCCTGTCTACCGAATTGGTGCTGTTATAAATCATTTGAGGGAAAATTATTTTTCAACAAAGTATTGTATTTAAGCTTTGCAAAACTCTTAACAATTTAAATGTATGTCAAAATTATAAATAGTCCCTTGTGCAACTACATCATCACTAAAACTCCCAAAGTTCAAAATAATAAAACACAGGTTAAAAAGATTCAACTTGAGAAAATACACTGGGAGTTAGAGTAGTTTCCCAAAGAGAGGGACTAGCTTGTTGTTTTTACTATGTACACAAGTACATTATGATCTAACAAGCTGGCATTTGTTGCTTAAAAACTATTTCTACAAGACAGTAGTATAATACAGAAAAGATAAGTATGGAATGAATCATAAACCTGAGACATGCTACCATAAACTAAATCTGTTATATAGGCGTACCTCTTATAATTCTATTTGCAAACTTAAGGGGTAAATTTCAAACTCTAATTCAGTAGGAGCAGACCAATCATATTTTTGCCTGAGTTCCAAAAGTTCTGAACAGCTTAACTATTCTAACATATTAAAAATAGTCTAGAGTCTTAAATACTGTGTCCGTGTAACATGGGCCTTCTTGGGAATAATTTTTTAACTTGCCATAAACTTGTAAGCCACAAAAAACAAAAATACTTTTTCCAACTCCATATTCTGATTAGGAGTATAGGAAAGAATCAAAGTATGCCAAAAGAGAGTAAGAATTTCTATAGGCATTAAAGTTTCAATGATATAAAAGACCACGTGTGTTTGTGTGCATGTGTATCTGTCACATTTTTATTACCAGGTTAACTTTTAGATGACCTATTCTATAGCCTACAGATGTTAACTTTTAACAGGATTCATAATCTAACTCACTAGTTACTTCTCAGTAGTTACACTTCTTGCTTAATCATCTGTTTGACCCATGTTTTCAACTTGGTTTCAATCATTTCTTAATTATTTTGTTGCTTTTTCTTTTAGCTCCAATATTGTATGCTGTCATACAGACAACTCTCCCAGTTCTCTACATGGAAGTCTGTATTAGAGAGCAAGCAACAATAGACTTATCCCTGACAAGAAGCCTGTTCCTCAGGCTTCTCCTTTAATCCTAAAGCCCCTCATCCAAGAATGCCTTCTGATGACAAGTCTAGCCTGGGAAGGTAGTGATGGATCTGCCCACAAGCTGCACTTCTGATCATCCTATCAAAGCAAGAAGGACCAAAAGGACAGCAGGACAGAGGAAAAAGGACCTCCTATCGCCTCTACCCCTTGGTCATCAATGCCCATCCTCTACAGCAAAGAAGATAATGAAGGGTCCCAACAGCAGTTCTCAGTTCCCGAGAACTAACCCAACAATTACCTGCTTTACTTGCCTCTTGTGGACCAGGCTGCCCTCCAAGCAGCTATAAATGCAACAGAATTCTTAAGACACAAGAACTTTCTTAACTCAGAAGAGTAAGAAGACATGTACATCATATAATGCAAAGCAACAAATTCTAGTTAATGTTGCAGAAAGACTGTTACTATAACATCAATATGCTTGAGCTAACTTTCTAAAAACATTTTTAGGATGGCCTAGCTCACAGTCAAAAATTGCCCTTAACTTACATTCTAGTTCAAACATTTCTAGAGTGTTTACTGTAATAGACAAAAAGCAGACAATATATCTGGATCTATGCCTAAACATGAAAATGAGTCCACAGGCACACTCTTAACCATCTTTCCAAAGAAATATGTTTAAACGGCTTTACCATGCAGAGCTATGGCTTCCCGGAAGGGTTGCAAATCAGTCTCTACAGAGGAGCTAGTTTCCGCTGAAGTAGCTCGGTTAGGGGACACTACAGTCAGTCTTGGGGGAGCTCTAGAGTTTCGAGGTGGAGGAACCTTTCCACACAGGAAGCTGATCAAATCTTCTCTGCGAATAGTTCTTCTGCGTTTTTTAACCCAAGCCAACACATCCTTATTGCGTCGCTGATAGCCAATCTGAATTCCAATATCAAAACTTCGCTGATGGGTATCCACGCTTTCTGTTAGAAAGAAAACGAAAAAAGATACATGATCAGTAGAGCCATACTATTCCCTTGTAAAGAAAATTATTTTACAAGTTACCAAATATAATTATACCATTAATATAAGGCCTCTAAGTCTTTAAGTAATCTAATAATCTGAAACCTGTTAGAAATACTATACATTTAATCTTAGTGGTCTAAATTCAGAGTTCATACATAGTCCTAGAGCCTATCTGTCCTTTCAAAAAAAAATATACATAGGGCGGGGAATTTAGCTCAGTGGTGCTCCCGCCTGCTTCACAAATGCAAGCCCCCCCACAAAAAAAAACAAATGCAAGGTCCCGAGTTGAATCCCCAGTACCAAAAAAAACTACACACATACATACAGAGGAGCTACTTATCATTAGCCAAATCCCTAAAATAAGGTGCTACACTTAATGGTATTAACAGTAGCTAAATTATCAAGTGTTTATTACTGCTTTATTAAGATTCAAGATTAAAATCGCTTCTCGGCCTTTTGGCTAAGATCAAGTGAAGATTCAAGATTAAAGTAACCATCTACATTTACACAGGTACTACTACTCTCTTCTACAAGTGAGGAAACTGAGGTACTGAGAGTTAACTTCTTCAAGGTCCCAGTACCTACAGAAGAGCTGGAATTTTATCCACACCCTGCTGGTCCTTAACCTCTAAGCCATATCACTCTCCTTCAGAAAGGTGAATTCTCACAAATTCTAAAATAGACACAACACATCATTCAACAGATGCCTAAATACTGAGCATGACTCAGGCCATGCTTACCTGCATTTACCCTATCATTTCAGAGACGCACGCCTACTGACAGTTTCAGCACCAACAATTAAAAATGCACAAGGCTGCAGCAAACTTTAGAAATTAACAAGGGAAAATCAATTCTATACAACATGAAAAACAAACAGGTGCTTCATTCATTTCCCTGAATTTATTTCCATTGTTTCTAATTTTGAACAATTTCTTGTACTTCACTACCATTCCCTTAACTTAAAATTCCCCAGACTAGATTCCTCCTATATACTGAATCAGAATTCAGTAAAATAATCCCCGCCCTTCAGTGGTTTTATCTAGTTGGAAAAAATTTGAAAATTTAAGTCACTGCAATTTATTTTTAGTTAGCTGCCATACTAGCAGAAAATCACTAGTACATCTTTATCCCTAGACCTTCTATAAAAGCAATGGGAAGGTCAGGCATGGTGCTGCATGCCTGTAATCCCACCTCTTGGAAGGTGGGGCAAGAGGATCACAAGTTCAAGGCCAGCCCAGACTACTTCACGGAACCTTGTCTCAGAAAACAACAGGAGCTGGGGATTTAGCTCAGGGGCACCATATCTGCCTTGCAAGCAGAAGGTTCTGAGTTCGATCCCCAGTACCAAAAACATAAAACAAAACAAAAAGCAGTGAGATACATTATCATCACTACTGGCTGTGATTATTTTAATTCTGTGTCTGTTACATCCAGAGTAGACTCAAAAAGGAAAAGCAATAGTCAAACAATGAATGATGAGCTTGGTCCCCCAAGGATCCCAAGCTGCATCTGCTTTATTCAAAAACTGACAGACTACAGGTGCAGCAGCTCCATAGCTCTTGTGTTTGGCACTCAGTAAGCCCTAGGTTCACTCTCCAGTACCTCTCCCACCTCCACCCTTAAATAAAGGGCAAGGGTACAGGTGCACAAACAGAACTATAAAACAAGGAATACTCCTTGGTGAATGGCCTGTCTTTATTGCCAAAGAATAGAAAAATGAGAAGCTGAATGTGGGAATAGGTCATTTCCCTTAAACATACTTTAAAATAAAAAGGACTAGGACTCAAATTCAACATCCATTGAGAACTTGTGGTAGGCCATACAGTGTATTCCTATCTTCTCATTTAAATCCCACTATAATTTTGAGAAAGCAGATTAGTCTAATCTTGCAGCTAGATTTATTAAAAATAGGTCAAGTGAAGTCATTTCTGCAGTATCTCACTATTAGATAATGGCAGTCACACAAAATGAGTCAGTATCTGCTGACTTCTCATTTCATCATACACAAAGCAGGCATGAACTCCATTTTAAAATTAAACAGCATTTATAAGGACAATACCATACACCACTTTCCTGTCCTGCAGAAGACTTTCAGGAAAGTCAACTTTAAGAGGGTAGATAAACCTAAGGTAACTTTGAAAAGTTGTATCTAGATCTTCAATTCTAAAAGAGCTGAAGTCATTTAAGGGAAATCAAGTCATGAGCAAGCTAAGCCTATATCCCATGGGCTTAAAAGATAAAGGTAAAATGTACAAACCTAGAAGCAATGTGGTTTTTATAAATCTTCCCTACCCAAAAGAATTATTTTCAATCAAAGTCATAACTGGGGTAATTTGTTTCCAAACATAATGAGGTAATTTTATCTTTCTAGAGCTAAATGAAGGTAAGGCTAGAATTAAAAAAAAAAAAAATAGAGGAGCCGGGCATGGTGGCCCACACCTGTAATCCCAGCACTAGGGAGGCTAAGGCAGGAGGATCACCTCAAGTTCGAGGCTAGCCTGGGCTACACAGTGTTCAAGGGCAGTCTGAACTACAAAGGGAGACCCTGCCTCAAAAAAACAAATATATAAATAAATAAAAATTTAAAAATAAAAATGCGCACATAAAAGATCAAAAAAATTATTAAAAAAAACAAAGGTGGGCAACACATCTGGAATATAAGCTAGTTGGAAGGCTGGGGCAGGAGGATCACAAGCTCAAGGCCAATGCTGTCAACTTTGCAAGCCCAAGTTTCAACAGGAAGTAAAAAAAAAAAGGACTGGGTCGCACAGAGGGTGGCTGAGGCAAAAGGAATACAAGTGCAAGTCCTGGGCCAGGGATTTAGCTCAGTGGTTCCACCACCTGCCTCAAGTTTGATCCCCCGACCAAAAAAAAAAAAAACAAAAAAACAATTGCAAGTCCCACATTGGCAACTTAGCAAACCTCTGCCTTAAAATAAAAAATAAAAAGGGATAAGATGTAGCTTAGTGGTCAAAAGCCCCTGGACTTAATTCTCAGTGCCACAAAAAAAGGGAAGGCTGTGGGTGAAACTCAAGCGTTCCCTGGGTTCAATTCAATCCCCAGTACCTCCAGAAACAAAACACCTTAGACAACGGATCATATGAGGTGATTGTTTTTTTAACTTACAGGTGCGGGGGAGCTTGGTTAAGGTTCGAGTGGTTTTGATTGAGGACACAAGAAGTCCCAACAGGGCTAGGGATGTAGCTCAGCAGGAAAAGCACTTGCCCAGCATGCAGGAGGCCCTGGTTTGACTGGTCCTTGTGGGGTGAGACACAGGACAGGATGGAGAAGTAGTCCCAACAGTCAGATACATAAGGGACTAATGCTCTCACACATTTAAATTACACATTGGGACACTCAATACATACTGTTTTAGAAGGCAGAAAGTTACACAAGTTGTGAACCTCTTTTAAGAAATTATAAAAAAAAAATATGCAGCTCACCAATAACCACACCTCAGAATTTCTGACCAAGTTTCAACATCAGAAACAACTAAGAGCTTGATAAAAATCAGGTATTTTAGCCAGGCATGGTGCCTATGCCTGTAATTCCATTCCTCAGGAAGCTGAGGCAGGAGATGGACTGGCATGAGTTGGAGGCCAGCCAGAGCTACACAGTGAGTTCACAGCCTGCCTAAACTACATAGTAAGATCCTGTCTCAAAAAAAAGGGAAATTTGCAAACACTAATTTACAGACTAGAAGGAGTAAGAGGAAAAAAGTAGATACATTTAAGGTCTTCAGGTACATGTTTTCCCATGACCTGAGCATAGCTTGGTTTGATACCATTAATAACCTACTCTGAAAGCCAGGTCCAATGTATCACAAAATTAATACAACCTCAGTTACTTCCCTAAAAAGAAAGTCTCCTACTACTGCTAGGGCATTTAAAACACACATCTTACAGGTAGGACTTTCTAGCTGCTGGGTTAAAAGTAAAGCCCTTGCCGGGGATTTAGCTCAGTGGTTCGGCCACCTGCCTCGCAAGTGCAAGGACCCAAGTTCAATCCCCGGTACAAAAAAAAAAAAAAAAAAAAGTAAAGCCTTCCTCAAACCTTGAACTAAGTAGGAAAAACCTGCATGCTTACTGGAAAACCTTAGATATGAAGAGATTACATTTTGTTTGTTTTTTTCAGACAGTCTTAATCTGTAGCCGAGGCTGGCTTCCAACTCTCCTGCTTCAGCCTTTAGCCCAGCTAAAGAGACTACATTTTAATATAATTTCTGAACAACATAGTGTCCGTTGAATAATAATCATACACACACACACACACACAGCCTCATGAAGGCTCTGAGCCAAACACTGCTTTGAACCCTGACAACTAGACACCCAAATTCTGGAATTTGGGCCCCTGGCCCAAAACACCTAGGTACAGAAACTGTGAGACAGTCTTGGGATCAACACTATTTTACCAAAACCAAAGCTATTCTGGAAAAGGGTCATAAACGTGAAGGTCAAATGAGTCCCCAGGTGCACTGAAATGTTAGATCTAACCTTTAACCACAACAGTAATCTTTTTCAAAAAAGCAAATTGATTCATGCAATAGTCACACGAGATATCCATGTTTAATTTTTTAATGTCTTTGTATAAATCTAAAATTGTATTCAAAAAATTTTAGGTTTACTCTTCGTGGTGGTGGGGGTCGGGAGAATACACAGAATCATACTGATTCTGAGGTGAAAACCAAACGCAGAACCTTAAGCGATACATACAGACAAAATTAATCAAAATGCTGTATTTTTTGGTGCTAAGGATGGAACTTAAGATTCCATGTACTCCACCGAGTTACTCAATGTTTCTTTTTATTTTATTGAGACAATCTCACTACGTAGTTCAGCCTGGTCTCAAACTCATGGCAATTCTCCTGCCTCAGCTTTCTAAGTGCCAGGATTACAAACATGCACTACCACATCTGGCAATGTTTCTTGAGTCTCACAAAAAAGACTATGTGAGAAGG